CCAGTTTGTTAACTTTAGTGTAGAAAAAGTGAATTCTCTCCTCTTGTCGTAGACTTTAATAAAATTGTAATCAATGATATTAAGGTCAAGGTATACTACATTATTTTGCACCGTATTTTTTTTTATTTAGCTTTAAGCTAGTTGGGTAGATATTAGCTGCTTCTATTTTGTTATGGTTGTTAAAGGCTATGATATCATCAATGTAACGATAAATGTGTTGGTAAAATTTATGTTCTTGCTTACGTCCAGAGAATCGGACAAATGTCAATTCTCTTGTGAAAAGGAATAATTCGCAGACAGGAGCTCGAAAAATTTCCTCCCATTGGGATTCCTTGAATTTGTTTGAAGATGCTATTGTTAAAGAGAATAATAATTATTGAAAAGCATGCTCATAAGAAAAAGTTGCAATTTTTCGTTATCAATTATTGCAGAAATCTGAGGAATTATATCTGGTAAACCAAGTGAGCTGGTATAAATTTCTTCAAGGTAATATAAAGGTTTTCGAAATCGTAGCATTGTATATGGTCGATTTTAATTGAATTAATTGTCTTAATTACGAGTTCGTTACTTGAAATCATCCAGTTGCAATGCAGATCTTGAAAATCATAGTTATTAATCAAGTCACGTATTAATTAACGAAGTTTTTTTGCAAAAAGATAATCTATTTCTTTAAGATAACTTTCAGTACTATTGGCAATAAACCTGAATTTAATAGGTGACTTATGAAATTTTGGAAGGCTTCCGTGGATGTATCTTAAGTCTTTTATGTATTATTGTACATAAAATTTTATGTATTTTATGTATTATGTAGTGCGTTAAATTTATTGATAAGAATTTCGGTGTTGGTGGTAATTTTTTGGTAAGTGCCATTACTATTTAGTTCTTTGTGCAGAAGGTCAAAATAAAACTTTTTTCAGAGAACACTAAAATTGTTGCTAGCTTTGTCAATTTTTGTAATGATAAAATTATCTTGCAGTTTGTTGATTAGATCAAAGAGTCGTTTCTTATTGTGTAGAGAGCTGAAAGAAGGTGCCTTGAAGAGTGAATGTTGACATTCTGTAATCAGTGCAGCTTTCCATTCAAGAAAAGTGGTAGTAGGTAAATTGGATTTATTACTAACTAACATGATAAATTTATCAAGATCTTGATTGAATTGTCTGAGGCAAAAGATGTTTATTGATACTAAAAGTAGGACGAAATTTGGTGCCAAGTTGTAAAAGGGTCTCGTAATTCTAAGTCTTCAATGATGTTAAGATCTCCTGTTATAACATGTTGGTGGAAAGGATCGACATATATTTTTGGTAAAGAGGCCTGTTGGCAATGACACATGCTATTTTCTTGAATCTCGTGGTGGTTGATAACTAGTTGACCTAAGTTCTTTTCAAATTTAAAGCAGGGCTTAATTTGGAGTTCTTGTTCAGGAAGCAAGTGTTGATATTTTTTAAAAATGTTAGGTATTTTTAGTTGATCATAAGAAGGGTGTTTGAATTGTACCGTACAAAACAGTTTTTTGTGAAAAAATTGCTATTTTTTAGTTTAAAATTGCAGAAGTCAATAATTAAGTCTTTTATGATTTGTAAACAGCTAAAATTTTCATTTACGACTTTAATCAGATTCCACAAAGTAACATTCTTAAATGTATGTAGAAGTTTTATGGCATTCTTAGCAAATTCATTATGTTCAAGGAAGGAATGAAGATTTTTAATTATTAAATTCAGATCTTGTAGTAGAAAAAAATTTTTTGTGTTTGGAATCACCTCCTCTGGTACCTCTGGTCGTTATACTGCTAAAAAATCTGAATTGTCCATATATTGAGACTTCTGTCTGTCTGTTGGTGGTATGACTCAGATAAGCATTCAGTCCGTAAGGGTAAAGTGACTTTTTTTTGAAGTATGTATATGGATTCCTTAAAAAGTCTAAGTTTAGTATTCGGTACAATATCAAGCACAGTAATTTCTATGTTATCAAAATTATGCTTATTATAATGCTCGAGAATAGCTGTATGCTGATTATTTTTTGTGAGATTATTGCTATTATTTTTAAATTTTTTAATATGAGATCTATGGTTATTAATTCTGAGGTTGAGAGGGTTTTTTGTCTGACCTATATATGTGAGAGAACATTCTTTACAGGTGATTTGGTAGATACAATTGAAAGTCTTTCATAGTGATTATGTCTTATTAGTATTGGTGGGAAATGGAGTAGCATTAGCCTTACAAGTTTTACAAAGCTTGTTGCTTCATTTAATTATCTCTATATGATTGACCAGAGCTTGTTAATGAAAATAAAGAGGGAGCTAATCTGCTTTACAGTGTTTTTTGGAAGGAAGACTAACCTATCGTGAAAGAGGAACTGTAAACAGTATCCGGTAACTTAAAAGCTGAAGCTTGAAAAGTGAAATTGAAATACACCTAAACAATCAAACTTATTAAACTTTCAGCGCTCGAGGCTGCTAAAAAGAATATTAATTGAAAAAGAAAATGTAAAGCTAACTGGTAATTAGACGTAAGACCTATCTGGTCTCAAAAACTTTTGCGCATAATGCTGCAAAAAGATTTGAAAGAATAGTAGTAGGTAGGAACATTGCAGCAACCTTGCTAAAAAGTTACCAGGAGCTGTAGCTCCATGAAATGTTGTAACATAGTACTACATAAACAATAAGAAATTTGTCTGGTAAAACTGTATAAACACGATAAAACTGCCAAATTTTAGTGCTGGAAGACTTGGTAATGCACGAAAAAAATTAATGAATCTGACCGTTGTGAAATGTGAAAAGTTAACTCACATGAAAAACTGAAGATTGAGACAGGGTTGCCATTTAAACAGGAGAATGAAATTCTCTGACTTTTCCAGTTTTTCCCAGTGTATTTCAAGAAAATTCCAGGCTACCCGCGTAGAGCGGGTTGGGTATGCTGAGGGTAAATTAATTATGGTACCACCTGAGAACACAAAATTTTTCAGTTATATATGACTGCCAGTTATATATGCAATCCCGAAAGTATTTATTTTATAAATATAATATTAGTTGTTTTCACACCTGAGTACAGAGCTTAGAATATCCCCAATCGGGATTTAAGCAGGTCTTTTCTAAAGACATTTTGCAGCTAAAGGAAGAAAGAAATCTATGTAATGACAATAAAAGTTTAAATAAATTTAAAAGTAAATTCAAGTATTTTATATTTATTTAGCAGCACACATAAGTAAAAAATATGTGCACTAAATTTCGTTATGGTATGTCATATTACTACTAGAATTAGTTTCACAGGTACGCGAGAGAAAATTGCGTGAAATTTGAAAGTATTATTAACTAATAATAAATAGGAGAAAGGAGACACACATAGAATGCAGGAGACATATTAAATGATATAAGTAACATTAAAATAAAGTTAATTACTTAAGGATTAAAAACTGAATTACAAAAATCAATGGTATTTTGGCAAATATAGGTATATTAAATGGTTAGCCTAGATGACTGATTATTTCTTTTTATTTTACTGCAAAATAGCAAATAAGGTATTTAAGAAAGAAGAAAAGGTTTGAAAGATTTTGTTTTGCATGAAAATGGGAGTAAAGTAATGGGAAAAGGAAAAACAGAAGAGAAAAGCTGAAATCTCCACTCAAAACTGTCTGCCTTGAGGCTTGAAGAGAGTAGGCTTTGTTAGCAACAGAAGCCAGCTACAAGAGTGGAAAAATACTAATTTACAAATATTTGTAAATTTTTGTTTACATAAATTGCTTATCCATAGTTAATCTCCTTGAATGTTTAGTTAATGCCAAGTTTCTTAAATATGTTTATTAACAAATTACTTTAGGATCCTGTTTTCTTTTAGAATGGCAAGAAGTGTTTCAATTTCATAATGCAAATCAGATACTTCAGTACAAATATTTTTTATTCTTTTAATTTGGTAAGTGATGGTACTGGCAACTCCTTTTTTTGAAATAGTGGAATGCCAGTTTATGGTAAAAAAGTTGAAAAGGCTCTATCTGCCAAAAAAAAGTTTCCTTTTCGTGTGATTGATAACATTTTAATAAAAAAAATAATAATTTGCTGTTGATTATGGTTCGTCTCAATGAGTTTGAAGCAAGAACAGTGAATGACCTTTTTTGCAATTAACAGTAATGATATCGTCTAAGTAACAGAAAGGGTAAATGATTTTGCTTGTTGTAAAATTGCCACTGTGTTTCATGAATTCAAATTCTTTTGAGAAAAGATAGATTCCAGATACTTGTGTCTAATTAATACCCATAGCATTAAATTTGCTGAAGAATTTTATTACCAAATTTAATAAAGATATGAAATAAGGTGTGTTCATGTGAGTACTAAGAACAGTGTATAAAATCTAAGATCACTTAATTTGTTTATTTGTGGGCCGAATCATCAGTCTACCCCCACCAAAAGTTGGGATAATTGATCTATGATTTATCATTGTAAAATGTGTGTAAGTTTTTCTTTTCTTACGTTTTGCATGTGGTAACAAGACTAGTAGTTAATAGACAATTTGTGTTTAATAGCTTCCTTATTTTGTATTACTTATTTTGCATCACTTATTTCAGATTTAAACTTAAGTGTAATTAAATAAAGTTAAAGGATACACAATCCCTGTGTCGAGTAAGTTATTTAGTGAACCAGCCAAAGTGAAACATTTGAAGTGATGCGGCAAGGTGCATTTGAAAGTGATAGTTTAAAAATACTGGTTAAAGTGTCTTAAAATTATAGGAAAATGGTATCATAAACTTCATTAAATGGAAGAGAGATGTAGAGATTTTTGAAGTCAAAATAGTTAATGTATTTAATGTAGTTTTCTTTGATGGTGTCCATAACTTTATGGTGTTTTTAAATAATCCAGCATAAAATGAGATCCTGGCTTATGGAAGAGGCAATAAGAAGATAATTTGTTTTTTTAGTTTTCTTTCAAAATAAATATATATATTACAATCAAACACACACACACCCATACATATATGAAATGCAACCAAAATTTATTACAGAAATAACTGACCTTTCCTACAGCAAGTCCACCAACTACCGACGTTATAACGCCTACAGCTTTAACAATCAGCGTTTTTAATCGCACAACCTCTGGTACTTTCACGCCATTCAAATAACATTTGATCACAGGAATTCCACTTCCAGCAGCAACTGGCTAGAATTTATAAAATATTATTACATGTTTCAAAATTCAAATAGGCAATTTCTTCTTGCTTCTTTTAATTATAAGATTACTCTTACAATAACCTCAAAAAAATTTTTTTTAATAATTTTGAATTTTTTTCTTTTTCTTTTTTTAGCAGGCATTATTATACAACACAGGCAAAATATAAAGGTCATTCAGCATTCACTTCGTTTATAACCTTATTTTATTGTGCAAAAAGTAGAAAACAAACTAAGTTATTATAAAACCTACATAGTGTAAAAAACTCAAACATATAAAATGAATTTCTTTGAATATATTCAGATAAATGAATTGCTACTTAGGAATTAACTAAAATTGAAAAATATGATTTTTCTCCACATTTTTCAATGGGAAACCTGATTTAATTTCATATTTATAATAAAAATAATCATGTTAGTAATTAGAGACAAAATTATTATAATCTCCATGAAAATTTGATCTTATTACCTAGTACATGAATATTTATGGGTTCCAAACTTTCTCATGCCTAACAAATTATCTTAAGATAAAATAACAGTTGCAAGTTTTTATCCTTATAAGAAATTTAATATTTTACAATTTATAAAGTAATAAAATACATCAGGTTCTAAAACATGGAAATGTAATAATTATAGACATTTATAGATCCATGAGATGCAAAGAATGTTCCACAATGATAAAAACATGGAATATTCTATATAAATTCAAAATAATTAAAAGTAAATTAAAAATTTAATTTGCACTCCTTTGAGATGGTATATAAAAAGATTTCTTATTATAAAGAATATTCTTTATATATACACAAACTGATATATATGTGTGTGTGAGAGAAAGAGAGAGAGAAAAATTATGTAAATCAAAATTCTAACTGAAATTAGAGGCTTCAACACTTTATTTTAGTTTGGGTACTTCCCCTTTCCATTCTAAAAACATCAACTGCTTATAATAAACTTCTCTAGCCTGTGTCATTTCCAGATTAATCCTATCATACGACTCTACATAATGTAAAGGTTTTGTAAACTAAAACAGCCAATAATGATTTTAGAGCTTTATTAACTAGTCAATAAAAATGTATTGAAAGCAAAACTAAATCACTCTGAACTAAAATTTCATCTGTAACACATCACACTTGCTTCCTGCTTTTTCTGCCAGCTAGATGTGTTGCCAAAAAAAAATTACATCTTTTGCTGGATGTCCATCGTGGAGTTGGTGCAATGAAGGAAGTAAACGCATCAGCCTGTTTCTCAACCAATAAAAACACATATTAAAGTTAATACTTAAAATAATCTCAGAAAACCTTGAAGAATCCCTTCAGGCCATCGTAAGTAGTGCAAAAATTGTAAAATTACAGCATCAAAATAATAAACAAGCTTAAACTTTTTCTTTATTTTGTAATGGAAAATGTTGTAGTACTTAACAAAAAATTAAATTTTTAAAATTTAGCAATCAGAAAAGCTCTAAGGCTCTAAAATATTTTCAAAGATGTTAAATAAATTTTGAAGAATAAAAAAAAAATTCAAGACATTAAAAATAAGTTTGTTGTATTAAAAATGTGAAGATGGGGTAAGCAAAACCACGAGCATGTTGTGAGCAATCTTAAAGAATACAAATGAGAAATTTAGTAAAAACGTGACAAATCATAGGAAGCCTGAAAGAGAAAAAAAGCAGAAAATGGAAAAAAAAAAAAAAAAAAACTTGTCGAATGTTACAGAACTCGCTCAAGAGAACTTTTTTTACACTTGGAAGTTGAAGTAGACCCATTTTTTAAAAAAAGAGATTGATATGTTGATCTAATCTAAATTGAAACTATTGTTAAAATTTTGACAAGAATGTTGAATTCTACTGCTATAATGGTTTAGGCGTAGCCTATCATGAAAAACTGCACTTCTGTTATCAAAATAATTTTTAGATTGATTACTGTTGTTTGGTTGGCTGTTTTTTCATGAAATTATGAATAATTTTATCATCTTTTAGTGGTATTTTAATTAATAAACTAAGCTCTTTTATAAAATTATTGCGATTATTACAAATATTTTTAATTCTTTTTGTTTGATTAATAATAGTGTTAGCAAAAATTTTTATTCAAATACTGGAATTCTAATTTGTTTAATTGTTTTGCAATTGTGTCCGCCAATATATATATATATGTAAGATATAACAAAATAGGATAGATGTTTGAAAAAAATAATTGGTGACCTCAAAATTAACATTCTAAATTTGGTGATCTGCCCCTAAATTTATCTCTTCTCACAGGTTCCAGATTTTTCTGTCTTACATAACGTTTTAATGCAGATGCCTCTTGTCCAATCAAATTAACTGTAAACCAAAACTCTGAACTGAAACTTTTCTGACTCCCACCCTTCTTCCTCTGAAGTTCTATGGTACTCTTTCCCCTTTTTTGCATAAGCTCTCCTGACAGCAAGATGCTTTTCATGTATGCTGCTGCCGCTTACTTGCTTAAAACGATGTTGTACATCAAAATGCAACTTACTGTATTCAAATATAATTAGGAAACATCAGTAAAATCCTAGTATACGGTGCAACTTTGGTGCGATTTTGAAAGTTATCGCTAACACCAAAAATGACCCCAAAAAGTGTCTATGTATATATTATAACACTACATACATAGTATATACTATGTATAACTATATACATACTTTGAATACCTGTTTACTACTTCACCGTATATGTCCCGTTTTTACTGCTCATCATAAAAGTCGCCAAAAGTAGCCAAATCCCGTGTGCACCGGACACTAGGATTAAACCGGAAACATCTTATCTGAAAAAGGATGATTTGACATGCATAAAAAAAAATAAAGATTGTGAATTTTCAAGATACGTTGTGCTAAATTACGTCATCATGCTTTCCACACTGTCACCTTCAACCCACTACGGTATTCTCGTCATCTACGCAGTATCTAAGCTGTTAAAAGTTCCACTGTTTTCATCTATGCATTTTGAAACCATTACATATTTATAAAAAGTCAAGAGAGGATTAACCTGCTGCAAGTTTCCCCAATGGTCTTCGAACTCTGCTGCCTCAAACTTCCAGTGAATCATCAAATTCATTTCTGGTGTGTGATTTAACGGCATATTCTAAAAGTGATTTGAAATCATCAAGTATCTGTAAGTTCAAAATCGGAAAGTATTTCGAATCAAGGTCAATGATGCCTACGCAGTAAAATATGGTTACTGGTTCTCGCTCGCTTCGAACATTCGTAATATTTATGCATTTCCGATCATCACGTAAAAAGAAAAACATCCAATGTTCTTTGAAGGTCATCAACCTCATGGGTGAAACAATGTTTTGTGCACATTTTGCATTTTTCAGTGGCTCATATTCAAAGAATGGAATATTATCAAAAGTTATTTTGATATTGAAGTGGTATGAAGTTCCATATGGAGTAAATTGCATTTTTAAATGACTTTGTATTATAAGTAATTTTGCATTTATAAGTAATTGCAGTTTTACGATTTATTAATGGCAATGTTTTGCTTAAATCATTTTAAAATCAAAGTTAATAATTCAAAAATATTATGATTTATTTAAAATGTAGTTTTGTATTTCTGAATTGGGAAAAAGAAATTACTGAATTTGACAAAAATTAGATAAGGAATTTGAAGATTTTAATACGAATAGGTTCCTAATATAAATACTACTTTTTGTATTACTGTTTAAATTTCTTTGAATTTATATTTTTAATTTTTACTATATTTTAAAAGTGAAATTATTGTTTGAAAATTTTAAATTCTAGGTATTTCTTTAATGTTTTCAAGATAAATGTTGAAGGCTATCACCTCATGAAAAAATACCTTTTTTTTATTAAATCTAAGTATTTTTTATTTTTTCATAAAATAGAATGTGTTTTTAATTTTTATAATGGAATGACAGCGGGTCGAAAAAGGCCAGTTGCTTCTATTAAAGGAATGGAGGTCTTTTCTACAGTAACCGCTAATTGGCAAATCTTTTGGCCACTGGTGAAGAATAAACACCAGTTTGCTGAACTGATAAACCAAAATGATGGATATGCTAGTATTTAGAGAAAGCTGTGAAGTCTTCAAGTTTTGTAAAGAATAAGTAAATTTTAAATGTCTTAATAATAGTGAAAAGTTTGAAATTTGTTGTGTTTATGAATGATGTGTTACAAAATTTGGCTAAAGTACAGAATCGCCTACTTATTTATCGCCTTTTACAAGAGTAAGAAGAATTGGATTTTTGTCAATTTTCTTTGACTTTTTAAGTGAAAATAGGTCGATGTGTACATGGATAAAGTCAAGGGAGTACACAATGCAATTTTTGTGCAATTCTGGGGTGTTTTTTAAGTGAAAAATAGGTCGATCTGTACATGGATACCGAGTATGTGCAATTCTTAAAAGTGTGCCAAGCAGTGGGCGATTCTGCACTTTCTCCCAAAATTTTTACATTTTAAAACACATCATTCATAAACACAACAAATTTCAAACTTTCCACTATTATTATTTGTGGAACTATTTTAAAATGCCTTCCTTAAAAAACATAAGTAAGAAAATTTTAACAAATAACATGAAAGTTGGCATCTCAATCTGTAATATAATAGAAATATCTTCATCAACAAAAATTGGAAAGACTTTTATTTGAATATTTACTGTGTGAAAAAATTTGAACATTTACTTTGTGGAATTATTGTCATTAAGAACTTTACATAATTTCATTGAACATTCTTATCTCAGAACTCTAAAATATGCAGCTGTTTTAAAAGAGTACAGTGTCTAAAATTATTACTGAATTCAAAATTTTATGACTTTCAGTGAAATTTCAAAACTGATTCAAAATATCGGTTAAATTTTATGACAATTTTTTTTTTAAAGTTAAATAGGTTTGTTAATATGTTTGTATTTTCAAAATTATATCTTTCACAATTTTGCTGCTTTAATGCTTTTTCTTCCACCCTGCTCACACAGCCTTCTTTTGAAGGGGGAATATTAAGATAAAACAAAATATGATAGCTGTT